CAGTATCTCGGACCTGCCTGGTGTGTTCCTTTGTCTTCATGGTTCTCTCTGCGCTTTAAACAGAACCCTGAGACTATCAAAGAGCAGGTGCATTTATACAGAGACTTGATTACACACAAGTGCATTCTATTTATCATCATCAGTCATTTAGGACAACATCGTGTGAGATTTCATAAAACTTTTAAGCAACTTTTGTTATAGTTAAACTCATCATTCTATCAATGTGCAGAAGCCTGTACTTTTCCACTTCATGTTTTCTCTATCTGAAGGCCAAGCTACATGGCACCGTGGCAGCTGCTGATTGGAGGTCTCCATGCCTCCGCTCTGTATAATACACTTGCATTCTGTTGTGTGTGTTGTTTGTGCTGTCTCTACCATCGACAATAAAACATGTCTTCTGTCGGAACTTATGACACGATCCCAGACCATGTCATCTTCTTCAATTGGATCATTCAAAGATCCTCACTGAACTTCTGGAGTGAGTTTGCTGCACTGAAAGTAAAGGGGCCGAATAATATTGCACGCCCCACTTTTCAGTTTTTTATTTGTTAAAAAAGTTTAAATTGTCCAATAAATTTCGTTCCACTTCACGATTGTGTCCCACTTGTTGTTGATTCATGACAAAAAATTTAAATTTTATATCTTTATGTTTGAAGCCTGAAATGTGGCAAAATGTTGAAAGGTTCAAGGGGGCGAATACTTTCACTGTATGTGAAAGCCAGATCCTGTCAGACCTCTGAAGCTAAGTAGGGTGGGCCTGGTTAATACTGTGATGGCAGAAAGAGGGAGGGAAATGGGAGTAAAGTGCCAAACTGCCGTTGTGTCTTTAGGCAAGACACTTCACCCACATTGCCTAGAATGAGTCGGATGTGTGCGTGAATGATTGGTCAGAGGGGCTGCTGCATGGATTTATTATAATAACGCTGCTGGCACAAAGTGGTTGCCTCGCTTCTGTCAGCGTGCTCCATTGCAGCTGTGGCTAAAAAAGTAGTTTATCCAGTGAAAGAAAAATGTGTGGAGCGCTTCTGAGTGTCCAAAAGAATCACTATAAAAATGATGGAAAATTATTGGGCCTCATTCACGAACGGTTCTTAGGAACAGATTTGTACGTAAATCCTACTTACGAGGTTTTTACGAAGAAAGTGGCATTCACAAATTTTTCTCGTAACCAGAATTTCTCTTGGGCAAGTACAAATCCTACGAGTCCTCAGGAGCACTCGTACGCATTCAGTGCCGACATGTTCACACGCCGGGGTTGTCCTCTTTGGTGAAGTTTAATAAAAATACAACATTCCAGTGATATGTCCGTCATATTGATGTATGTATTTATTTATTTAAATGTTAATGGTAATTTAGCCTATTTTTTTATTCATTTTGAAATTAAATGTGCCAACGCTTTATCAAATACATTGGAAATCATGCCGTGTATTACAGTAGTGACCCCATCCTATTTATTGGGGGCATTTCTTTATCCACGGGCCACAGAACAATGGAATATATACTGCTGCTGCAGGAGGCTGCGGGGTCCGCTCTGAGTCTCTGCGCTGGTCTCTCCCATGGATCTATACAGGTCTGCACTGGTCTCTCCCATGGATCTATACGGGTCTGCACTGGTCTCTCCTATGGATCTATACGGGTCTGCGCTGGTCTCTCCCATGGATCTAGACGGGTCTGCACTGGTCTCTCTCCCATGGATCTATACGGGTCTGCACTGGTCTCTCTTCCATGGATCTATACGGATCTGCGCTGGTCTCTCCCATGGATCTAGACGGGTCTGCACTGGTCTCTCCATACGGGTCCGTGCTGCACGTTCCTGGATCCAAACGGGTCCGCGGTGGTCTCTCCAGTCTGGTTTGCGGTCTCTCTTCGGTCCGCGCTGGTCTCTCCAGTCTGGTCTATGCGGTCTCTCTTCTTCAGTCAGGTCTCTCAGTCTATGCGGTCTCTCCTGTCCGTGCTGGTTTCTGTGTGCTGGTCACTCCAGTCTCTCCTCGGGTCTGCATTGGTCTCAGCGCTGGTCCGCGCTGGATCTCCTCCCAGGGTCCAAAATATATTTAGATTAATCTCAAAACATTTTGAGATTCATTTTTAAATTAATACATAATATATTTTTTAATTTATCTCATAGCATTTTGAGATTAATCTCATCATATTTTTAGATTAATCTCATAATATTGCTAGTTCGACTTTATTCTTATAATATTTCGACTTTTAAGTCAACATTTTATAACTTTATTCTCAGTCTGGCTAAAGAAGAAAAAAGGGTGACTCTTTTGCTCCGTGTAACTCTTTGCTTGAGGCCTGTTGCTGTTTCCTCTGGCGTCTGCACACGGCCCTTCAGTCCCTTATATGGGCATTAGTGGGCGGTTACCTATGCTAAGTACCTATGCTAATGAAGCACCGGGCACGCGCGCTCTACTTACGAGGAGTTGGCATTCATCAATCTGAGAGAACAGCTGCAAACAATTCAGCGGCATACGAGCGCGTTGATGAATCCCACGTAGGGTCTTCTTAGAAATCTACTTAAGGACGACTTGAGAAGAAATTTAAGACGTTTTCTTCGTTATTCGGAATTCGTGAATGAGGCCCAATATTATTACTTCTAGTTGTCATTTTTATGTTTGAATTGTGATTCACTTTTTCCACAGCTATTACAGAATATAATCTTCCATTTAAGGTGAGAATAAAATCACCACTGTTTAAACAAGGTTTGACCAAGAGTGATAGTTATCAATTATCTCTGTTTCCACCTTCACCTCAACTCCAAATAAAATTCTAACCAATCATTGTGAAATATTCAAATAAAACTTCCATCCACCGCTCGATGGCTCTTCAATCTTGGCGAAGTAAATACTTGACCATGCAAACCACTGTTCTGATAAAAGGATCGCTCTGTGTGTCACTTACGGACAAGAGGAGGAGCCTTTATCAAAGCTGGGGTACGCAACTTTCAATCCCCTGAAAAATGTATCAATTTCATGGATCTAAATTAGTTCTATCGCTTGTTTTCACGTGCATGAAAAGGCCTCCGTCACATCTTTAGATCAGCTTATTCAGACAGAAAATTGAAAAAGAGAGGATCACTTTTAGATTCAAAGACTCACAGGGCTCTTTCTTACAAGTACAGTGCCTTGCAAAAGTAGATTTATAGATAGATACTATTTTGACCCCCGTAGAAGAAATTCACATTTCTCCTACATCCATCCATCCAAAACAAAACAAATAAATACATTATTCTAAAAGTGGCTAATAATAGTAATAACATGCAACAGCACAGCAACGGCTGCAAAGTTGGTGTGCTTGGTTTGACTGTGAATCCTCTCTGCTATGGTCTGAATCAGTGGAAAACCATGAACACTATACTGCAGTAACATGTACAGGTAGAAAAAAAGCAAAAAATATGACAATTGTAAAGCAAAAAACAACAACCGTTTCAGAGCTACTTAGGACTTGCTGCCGTTTCCAGCTCTTTAAGAAATAAAGTATTAATACAGCTTGAATTTTGTCATGTTTAAAACCATAAAACATTTTATTTTGAATTTTTTTACTGAAATTTCACTCACAGTAGGTAACAGAAAACTGAAGTGAAACCAAAATGATATATGATTCTGACATTTTTCAAAAAACTGAAAATCCAAAAGCTGGGCATGCACATGTATTCATACTGCATGAGACATTACTTTCTGCAACCCCCTTTTGCTGCAATAACAGCAGCAAATCTCTTGGGGTATGACTTAACAATATTTTCACATATAGAAACAGAAAAGATAGCCCTTGAGCTCTGTTAAATTATAAGGAGAGCATTTGTGAACAACAGCTTTCAGGTCTTTCCTCAAAATGTCTAATGGTGGGTTGGGTTTTTGTTTTAAACCAATTATCACTTCAGAGGAAAGTCGGCTCCAGCCTCAATTATTTTCCTTTAAAATGTCTCTGTAGTTGGCTCCACCCATCTTCCCAGCTATTCTCATAATATTCCCAGTCCCTACTGAAGAAAAGCAGCCTCATAGCATGATGCTTCCCCCACTATATTTGACACTGGGGATTGTGCACTCGGAACGATGAGCATTAGGTTTGCACCATAAAAAACGTTGTGTGTTTGGGCCAAAAAGTCAATTTTTTTGTCTCATCTAACCAAAGCACCTTCTTCCACACAGTAGCTGTGTCGCCCGTTTGACATCAAATGGGATTTCTTATGGCCTTCTTTCAGTAGTGGCTTTCTTCTTGCCACTCGTTCATAAAGGCTAGATTTGTGTAGACTACGACTGATGTACGGACTTGCATGTAGCTCAGCAACAGAACTTTGCAGCTCTTTCAGAGACATGTAGGTTATTGAAGTCGATATCACACAAAACTTAAGTTATTTTATTGATATCGGAGAATTGGGTCGAAAACAATCATGTAGTAAAACAATAATTGATAATAGCTTTATTTCGGGGGACCAATGAATAAATCACAACTGATGATGTGCGTATGACGTCATGTTATCTATTAATTAGCTTATTTATTGATTAAATAATCTTATGAGTCCTTAGTTAGTCCAATAATAATAATAATATATTTTTGTCAATCCTTTGGGCCGCCTCCCCAGGAATGCAGGGAGTTGCCTCCCTGGGTCTTATCAGTGCGGAGCATACAAAGGGGGTAATTTCCATACCCCCCTACAACATTTTGGGGCCTTTCTGACCAGTGCTCCGAGAGTTTGATCTGTGAGTATACTTGTCTGTTACCTGTGTGTGTGAACTTTCATTATAAAATCCTCATGTTTATGGTTATAAACCTGACAAAATGTGTCAAGGTGTATCAATACTTTCAAGAGGCACAGCATATAATCATTATTAAGACCTTAAATGATTAAATATAAACAGTATCCAATAGTCCATACTCGCACTGCATTCTCCCAGAGTGTTGAGTATTGAGAATTGGTCCAGTAGAGACCTGAGCAGTCTTGATAACATTAGAATCTGATTTTGATTAGAAGTCAACTCTGATTGAACCAAAACAGTTCAAAACAGTTGTACAAGTCGACAAACCTTGTAGAAGAGGAGTGTGAAGTCTCGTGTCATCCGGACCAAATGGTGGATCTGTTCGTCCGTCAGCAGCTGCACCTTAAAGAACATAATACATGTTTTGTCTCTATGTCATACACTATAAAAGATTTAAAATTTCAGCTCTAGATAATAATAATTGCCTTTGTGTCCTTGCTTAGGCAGGAAACTTGACAGGAAAATGAGTCTGGTGTGTGTGAATGGTTGGTTGGTGGTAGGAGGGGCCGATGGCACATACCGGTTGCCTCGCTTCTGTCAGTGTGCCCCAGGGCAGCTGTGGCTACAGTAGTAGTTTATCACCACCGTGTATGGAGTGAATGAGTAATGACATATGAAGCGTCTTTGAGTGTCCAAAAAAGCGCTATATAAAACTGATGCATTATTATTATTATTATTAGATGAAAAGTCTTTCGATAGAACATAAAGCCACTTTCACACATTAGCTTTGTCATCTCACACCAGCAAGGTCTCAACCTCAGTGTCAGAAAACATGTCACAGAGAGACCGGGATATGTCTGAGACCAAGTTTGGACCAGGTCTGACCCAGGGCTGAACCAGGACTAAAATAGGTTTGGGCCAGGTTTGGAACAAGTCTGGACCAGGGCTGAACCAGGTCTGTACAAGGAATAAACCAGGTCTTGACCAAGTCTGAAACAGGATTGAACCAAGACTGAACCAGGAATAAATCAGGACTGAACCAGGACTGAACCAGATCTAAACCAGGATTAAACCAGCACTGAAACTGGTCTGAACCAGGACAGAATCCTGTGTAACTTAAAGTTGAAAAATGTAAGGTCAATGTTGATTGTTTTCACATACTGTACATAAACCGGATAAGAGCAGTGATGTGACACAGACTTATTTTTATACCACCCTAACAGGTTTCCATAGTGAGAGTTGAATGCAGAGGACACGCAGACAATGGAATATATCTTGACCTATATGCAAAATCCTCTTTGAGATTTTTAACCTTGTTATAACAGTGCTACATATTCTCCCTCCAGCTACAAATGCTCTCATCTAAAACTCTCACAAACCCTCACAATACTGAGTCATGTTCAGGACGGCAGCCATGGTTCAGATCGGTTTTCTGTGTAACAAAATTGCTCTATTACAAATGTGAGATTTGTTTTTGTAAAGGAAGTTTCCAGGATGTAATTTCCACCATCTACCACCAGAGGGAAGGGTTATACCACTTGAGATCATAATTATACAATCATGCTTGCACCTATAAAAGTATTAAAGGGAGGGAGAATGGATGGTGCCCGTCAGACCTCAGAAGTTTAGAAGGGCAGGGCCTGGTTAGTACAGTGAAGCAAAACCTCTGAGAACAGTAGTGACACAAGGATTAAACCATTTGGTTTGGATTTGGTTAGTGAAAAAGAGACAATTAGAAGGATTTTATAACAGATGTGTTGAGACTGATGAGCGTGTTATACGGACAGCGTCTGAGACCAGAGCTGTCCGTATAATACAATATTAATGAGTAGCACTGGAAACATCCCAATGGGCCTCATTTATGAAATTTGCGCAGAAAAGGGTGTATATTTTTGGTGTATATTCCATGTACGCAAGACTCAACGCGGGATTTATGAATGTGTGAGATCCGCCCAGATCTGAGCGTACACATACGCGGTTGTTGATAAATGCCGCAGTGAAAACTTGCATATTTATGAAAGTCACGCCTAGGAATATTCAGAAACCGCCTGTTTCACGCCCCGACAGCTCAGGATGGAAGCCTCAGAACGATGGAAGCCTCTGAAGTTTATATTGAGTTTTATTGTATGTCAAAAAAAACAAGAAAAAAACCTGCTATATTATATATACGCGTTTTTTTCCCTAGTGTCTAGACCCACTGAAGTGCTCGTCTCTTTAGAAATGAATGAATGAATGAATGAATGGATATTAATATCTCAGCAGTGACTCTCATCATTAACTGGGTCAAGCACAAAACTAATGAAAAAATATGTTGCTTTGCCAGAGGTGAATGAGACAAAACAAATAGCCATGCGTAATTACGCAGCGCAAGGTCTGCCACAGATTTACGGAGAAATAGATGGTCACACATTAAAGTGGACATATCGTGTTTTCAAAGAATTGATTTTTACATCTAAATCATTAATTTGTGGCCTATATAAAGACCCTGCAATGCCTGGGTCTGAGTCTCATTATTTGTAGCTCCACGGGCCTTTCTTCTACACCTGTTCTGAGGTGCGTCTGAGAGAAACCCGTTTTGGTGCTGTCTCTTGAAATGCAAATGAGGCGCTTTTGACCACGCCCCCATCCAGGTGACACAGGTTCAACTCCACCCCAAACGGCCATTTTTGTAGTTACTAAGCACAAATACAATTATCTCATAGAAACTTCTCATTCCATCGCAAACATGAAGCAGTCCTTCCTCATTGACTGAAAGCAAATATTAAGTTTCATTCTTAGTCCAGTCTTATTATCGACTCTTCTCTTTTTAGCTTTGGGATCCATGCGCACAGTCTATGATGCTCACACGCCGGTTTGTTAACAACAGCGGCCGCCCGGCGCGGGCCTACGTCGCAGGATATGACACACTACGTTGACAGAAATGTTTAAATTGAATATTACTTATGCACAATTTTACAGCATTTAAAAACTTCCTTCCTTCTACAGAAGGAAAGAGACGCATGCGCCTCCGGAGCCGCAGGTTGCCGACTCCTAGTTTAAAAAGTATGTGGAAGCAAATACTGTAGAGGATCAGGGTATGTGCAGTTTCAACAATAAAATAAAATGCAATAGTCTACGTTACAAGAGAGTAATAAACATGTCTCAGAGTGAGGGAGGTGGACACAGACAACACTATTGTTTGTTACAGGGATGAGAATTAGTCAAAAAAGACTGAAATGCATATTGTCAACCATTTGCTGGCTCTAAATCTGTTTAATTTGTTCACAACATATTACTTTTGGGCTCAAACATGAACTTTTTATTCAATGCTGCGCGCTCAGCCACAACACGGTTGAGTGGCTGCGAGCGGCTGGACGCAGAAGCTGCTCATTACAAAGCGGCCGCAGATGCCCCGGAACACTGCAGCCGCTGAGGTGGCGGAATCCCGTTCGAGTACATACAGCAGATGCCCCGCGGATACGCGCGCCCCGCTCAAAAAATTCTCAACGGATTTACACTTCTCATAAACATGTGTTTTGTATCAGGCAGACAGACAGGCCCAAATATGGGCATCGGCCCTTTGGGCATTGCCCGGTACGCCCGATGGCCAGTCCCAATGGTGTAGGTTTGGTTCCAATCTTGGTGGGGACATTCACTACGACCTGAGTCTACACCCATTGACACGGGGTCCAGAGTTTCTCCCCCAGAATTTGTTGTGTAATCACACACTATATTTGCAATAGTGTGTTGCCTTCTATACTAAACTCAGCTGTAGACTGAATGAGAAGCAGTTATGTATGTTAACAGAAGATTAATCATCACAATTCATAATTTGCTATTACTTGTGCTTTCTCTTACTTACTTTCCAACTGTTAAAAAAGCTCCTGATATCTTTTATCTTATTTGTGGAGGTGGCATTTTTTCTAAATTATATAAGAAGGTATAGACAATCAAAAACAGACATTCATATACATGAACTGCAGAATCATTTATATAACTTGGCCAATGTCAGAAGTTACATAGTATTTCTCAATACAATGAGTTAACAAGAGTTTGGCAATAAGTAACAGTGTGGATTTTTCTATATTTTCTTTTTTTTATTCCACTCTCAACCCAAAAAGGCAAGTAATGACTCACAGGGCTCTCAAGTATGCAAAATAAAAACTTAAATGACCTGTTGTGGTGTGTTTTGCGCACAACCAGCATGCATCGTTAACGCAATGGAAAATTTACGTATCCGAGCTTTAATTTCGGGAGCGCTGGTTGCGCTTTGGGAAGAGTCAGGGGAGAGACATGTCAGAGACACAGGGGAGAAACGGGGGAGATACGAGGGAGACCCGCACTTGCAACATGGTTCTGTCTGCATATGGTCCGAGCTCGGTACCATGTTAGAGCTGTGCTTTCACTGAGCGCCGCGGCTGTCATTACAAAGCGGCAGCAGCTGCACCAGGACGTGCACATTCGAGTGCATCGCTTGAATGTGCTTAGAGCAAATAACAGCAAGTGCCCGCTGTCACACATTTCACAGAAATTACATTATCAGCAGATAAAGGTTGTAAATCGTGGATCCGTGGAATATTTTCATCCCTAGTTTATCCTGATTCACACAACACACCCACTTATACATTTTGGATAGTAAGAGCACAATAAGTATTTTTTCAGCCTTTCAACCAACCTGTTTCTTTATTGGAGCCAGTTCTGTTCTGTCTCTGTGTGCCGTGTGAGCTCCTCGGAACATTAAACAGTGCGCTGACAGATTAGAAATAACGTAAGTACTTTGAATGGTAATAGATCTACAGTACTTTCCTCTGATTACTCACGTGCTACAACGCTCAGGGAACGAAAAAAAACACTTGCTTCACGCTGGCTAACTTTTAAAAATTAAACAGTTGCTCAGTGCTTCAGTTTGGCGCTGAAGAAGACAGCCAATCACGTCAGAGAACGGAATGGGTCACGTGCTGCTGTTGCTCTGGAGGCGAGGAGGAGGCGCGACGTGTGCACAAACGGAAGACATGTGTCCCGGACCGTCCGGGTCACGGGACATCATGTCATTTTGGTGGGGACTTTTTAGTCCTCACCAAATATTGGTGGGGACATGTCCCCATGGTCCCCACGCAAACCTACGCCCTTGGCCAGTCCAGCCCTGTTCGCTGGCGTCCTTGAGCTTGGACTACAAATTTGAAGTGAGGCACAGTAGAGGAGGGCTGGGCCGAAGTGTTTTGTTAGACGCCCATGCCCTCATATAGCAGTCTCGCTGCAAATACTGTCACGTAATAATTCTAATCACGTAATAGAGAATGGCAAAATCAGAACGGGTTGAAATATCTTACCTAAACAGAATATGAAGTGTTCTCTGCAACCACTGAAGAGACTGATTTCAACTTTTTTGCACTTCTAGAGGCTCCAACTTCACAACATAAGGCATTTAAGGCACAAAAAGTGGATTTTTCATGATATGTCCCCTTTAAGTAAGTAAGTAAGCCAGGTGTATTTGTATAGCGCTTTCACAGACCAGGATCACAAAGCGCTTACATAAAAAAAAAAAAAAAAAACATACAGATGAAAATACACAGTCAGGTTTAAAAATGAAGAAACAGAAGAGGGTCCTCGACATGATCTGTGATTTATTCGAAATGTGCGTGTTTCCAGAGTGTTAGAGTTTTTCTGATGCGCAAATTCAAATTTAGAAACCTGATGCTCCATGAAAACGCAGTAAATAATGTTGCAAGAGTGGGAATATGTTTATTGTTGTCCAAATTTTGCTTTTCATGCGTGTTTTGGCGTGTTGTGACGAAGGGTGAAATGAACGTACACATTTACACCACCTAATGACTTGGCGTAAATTCTGTGCGTACCGTACGCTCACACCCAGGTTGATAAATGCAGAAAAGTGTACATTTTTTGCATACGGCTCATTTAGTTTCATACATGAGGCCCAATAAGAGTAATGCATTGTAATGAGAAACCATCACAGATTATTGATCTCTGACACTTTTACTTTTGCTTTATTAAAATGTATTTATCTTTATTTAACAATATAATTGTTATTACAAATTACAATTATCAACACTGCCTAATGCTCCACAATCAAATCAAATTAATGTGTGAGAACATGTGGAGAGCACTTGGACCACTATCACAAATTTAACTTTTTCACCTTTTTTCACTTTTTAATGGGCATATACAGTGCCTTGCGAAAGTATTCGGCCCCCTTGAACCTTTCAACATTTCGCCACATTTCAGGCTTCAAACATAAAGATATAAACATATTTTTTTTTGTCAAGAATCAACAACAAGTGGGGCACAATCGTGAAGTGGAACAAAATGTATTGGATAATTTAAACTTTTTTAACAAATAAAAAACTGAAAAGTGGGGCGTGCAATATTATTCGGCCCCCTTGCGCTAATACTTTGTAGAGCCACCTTTTGCTGCAACTACAGCTGAAAGTCGCTTGGGGTATGTCTCTATCAGTTTTGCACATCGAGAGACTGGAATTCTTTCCCATTCTTCCTTGCAAAACAGCTCGAGCTCAGTGAGGTTGGATGGAGAGCGTTTGTGAACAGCAGTCTTCAGCTCTTTCCACAAATTCTCGATTGGATTCAGGTCTGGACTTTGACTTGGCCATTCTAACACCTGGATACGTCTATTTGTGAACCATTCCATTGTAGATTTGGCTTTATGTTTTGGATCATTGTCCTGTTGGAAGATAAATCTCTGTCCCAGTCTCAGGTCTTTTGCAGACTCCAACAGGTTTTTTTCCAGAATGGTCCTGTATTTGGCTCCATCCATCTTCCCATCAATTTTAGCCATCTTCCCTGTCCCTGCTGAAGAAAAGCAGGCCCAAAGCATGATGCTGCCACCACCATGTTTGACAGTGGGGATGGTGTGTTCAGGGTGATGAGCTGTGTTGCTTTTACACCAAACATATCGTTTTGCATTGTGGCCATAAAGTTCGATTTTGGTTTCATCTGACCAGAGCACCTTCTTCCACATGTTTGGTGTGTCTCCCAGGTGGCTTGTGGCAAACTTTAAACCAGACTTTTTATGGATATCTTTGAGAAATAGCTTTCTTCTTGCCACTCTTCCATAAAGGCCAGATTTGTGCAGTGCACGACTGATTGTTGTCCTATGGACAGACTCTCCCACCTCAGGTGTAGTTATCTGCAGTTCATCCAGCGTGATCATGGGCCTCTTGGTTGCATCTCTGATCAGTCTTCTCCTTGTTTGAGATGAAAGTTTGGTGGGACGGCCGGGTCTTGGTAGATTTGCAGTGGTCTGATACTCCTTCCATTTCAATATAATTGCTTGCACAGTGCTCCTTGAGATGTTTAAAGCTTGGGAAATCTTTTTGTATCCAAATCCGGCTTTAAACTTCTCCACAACAGTATCTCGGACCTGCCTGGTGTGTTCCTTAGTCTTCATGGTTCTTTCTGCGCTTTAAACAGAACCCTGAGACTATCAAAGAGCAGGTACATTTATACGGAGACTTGATTACACACAGGTGCATTCTATTTATCATCAGTCATTTAGGACAGCATTGGATCATTCAAAGATCCTCACTGAACTTCTGGAGTGAGTTTGCTGCACTGAAAGTAAAGGGGCCGAATAATATTGCACGCCCCACTTTTCAGTTTTTTATTTGTTAAAAAAGTTTAAATTATCCAATAAATTTCGTTCCGCTTCACGATTGTGTCCCACTTGTTGTTGATTCATGACAAAAAAATAAAATGTTATATCTTTATGTTTGAAGCCTGAAATGTGGCAAAATGTTGAAAAGTTCAAGGGGGCCAAATACTTTCGCAAGGCACTGTATGTCATCTCTTAATTAATTATACATGTACAGTATATGCATATATGTAGGCCTGTCGCGATAGTCAATAAATCAATTAATCGCACAATAAATAAAATTTGCTCAAAAACTTTGTTGGCCGCGATAAATTCCATTTGCATGCTTGTTTGTTTCCCCCGTCTCTCTCGGGTCAGAGAGCCGCAAAGTGGTCACGGGAACATTAGCGGTCTAGCAAGCAGACGGAAATTACTCAAAAATACAAAATACAGCCAAAACAGGACCTAAACCAGGACTTAACCAGGATTGACAATGGGGGACACAGTAGTTGTGAACATATGCCGGCAGCTGAGTTCTCATTCAGGCTTGATTAGTGACTATACTAGCGCAGCTAGCGTTAGCGTGTTCGCCGATGCAGAAGTACCGTACCATACCAATAAAATAAACTTATGGCGCACCTCCGTGAACACATACTGCTGTTATATAAAGTCTCTAGAAGGTCTCTGAACACAGAGATGCTGCAGACTTGCATTCTTGGAGTAGAACGTTACACAAAAAACCCGCTAGCTTAGCTGTTAGCATCAAAGCCCGCCCCGCTACTTCCGGTGGGCGCTACCGCAGCAGGACTTCTGTACGCCCCATTGGTGAACCCACATATCAGTCACTTGTCATTCGCCTGGTGTGTAGGGAGGTGGGACTACTCCCACTCTTAAGCCACACAAAGTCAACATGTTGGTATTTCTTTCTCGTAATCTGCCATAAAGTCTGAGAAATTATTGACATTTGAGGCATCTGTTTCATATTTTCTTTACAAAGGTCCTGGCAGTTTTATTCCTGGTCATTTTTTGTTAAGAGACTGAGTCTATTTTATTTATTGTTTTTGGTTGTTTGTTAATTTATTGTGTTCTAGCGTTAAATATTCGTTAAAAATAAAAAGTTTATTTCTCTTTGAAAAGGTGTACCTGCATTATCATTGTAATAGATGCAAATGATCTCAGAACGACAATATAATCGCTTATCGCAATAATTTCTGAGACAATTAATCGTCCAGCAAAATTTGTTATCGTGTCAGGCCTACATATATGCACTACTTAAGAAACAATTCCATTTGTTTGAGAGCCACAAAGAACACACAAAGCACATCATATTTTTTTCTTAGACCGTAAAAGGGCCTTTTGTAATTTTCAGACATGTTGATAGTATTCACAATCAGCAATGTGAAGTGGCCCTTTTCGGTGGCACAAATCTTTCCAGTTCTCAGTGAGGAAAGGGAGGAGCGAGAGACTGACAGACAGTTTGTGCATCTGCAATGATGCAGATTTCAGTCAAAATACATAGAATATGCTCTGGTCTTTGAGGATTAGATCGGCACCACATTCCCTCAGGGACCAGTGCGACAGGCAGTTGACTTGTTGTTGCTTTTGTCAGTCAGAACATTTCGCTGCACTCTTCACTGCAGCTCCTCTCCTATAACCACCTTTGCCTTTTTATTATGTAAGTTGATAAATAATACAAATATGGAGCTTTGACTCATTTATTTTTCAGTGCACATTTTGGGTCGCGCTGTTTTGATATGCAATATTAATTAAAAGAAACATGCTGTTGACTCACGGATTTTCGGCGCTTGAATATTTATCAAAACGAAACAAAAGCATTTAAATTTTATAGACCAAAGCCCCCAAATGACTGCAAATGTTACTCTCATAATAATTCCCCTCTTAATAATACAAGCATTTCCGAGAGGCCAGCCTCAAAATGGAACCGCTACCCAGAATGAATCTTGATGCTATGTTGTGACCGTCATCAAACCTTGAACTTGTTTACTGCATGAGAAGTTTAAGGCAATTTAGGCATCTGGGCATCCCATCAGAGCCATGAACAACTCAAGACTGTTTTAAAAGCCTGAGATAATGCATTGTGCAGGAAAGGTGACACACTACAATATTTAATGCCACAATCTCTTAAATTATTTAAGTAGTAGTAAGTAGTAAGTAGTAATCTTTATTTATATACCGCCTTTTCACTGCAGAGCTGAGTCTCAAAGCAGTTTACAATTGTTAATTTTGGGCATTTTGTTTCTCACTCCACACAGAGATGGGAGCGGGGTCGCCAGTACAGGAGGCGCATGCCAGACCTATTGTACATATTTTTAGTGGTAGGGGAAACCGGAGTACCCGGAGGAAACCTACGCAGACACGGGGAGAACATGCAAACTCCACTCAGAAAGGCCTGTTCCGACCGGGATTCGAACCCAGGACCTTCTTGCTGAGAGGCGAGAGTGCTATCCACTCAGCCACCGTGCCGCCCACAGAGTTTAAAATAACTCCCCATTGCTCATCCAGTCCACGGGTGTACTATTGACTCACCCATCCACAGCGCATCCTGTCTGGGTTTCACTGTGGTCTGGTCTTGTCAGGTCACAGTCTGGACGAGGTCACAATCTGCACAGGGTTTTGTTTGGGCACGTGCTTATCCGGTCTAGGCAGTGTGTACATGGTGCATGCCTTAACACCTGGAGTCAAACAGGGCTGGTCTGGATCTGTTCTGGACAGTGTCTGTCTACATGATGTGTACCTTGACGCCTGGGTGGAGGCCAGAGTCAAACAGGGCTTCGTTCTTGATGATGTTTCCCACTCCGGGCATGACGGCCTGGTCCAGCAGCACGTCACAAAGCATGCGGGACCTCTGGGCCTTCACAGCCTCCTCAGACCGGGGCTGGCTGAAGAGTGGGGAGCAGACATCCAGGTGTGAGGAGGAAAGCACCTTCTGCTCACACTCCTCTGTCCCCCTGTGTGCATGTGAGCAGGCTTTAGGTTTTAGTCACAAAAGATTAGACACAGAGCATCATAAGAGAAGGCATGAGTTCAATACTGGCTTTGAAAGGAGCAACTATTGTTATTGTTGAAAAGGACCTGACATTGGGGCTGGCCAATCCCATGTTGACCGATCTCAGACAAATACAGTACTTTGATTATAAACAGAATATGTTTAAAATTAGAATCCAAATCCTTTTTATTGCCATGTGAATGAAAAAATATGAAATAGGACTGGTGATGTGAGTTCAAAAACTGTTACACATTTCTCAGATTAAAGCTTCTTAGCACTGGCTTCCAGTTCATTTGACAATTGATTTTAATATCTTATTGTTTGTTTTCAAAGCCTTGAAAGAACTGGCCCCATATTTTGTCTTGGACCATATCCTATTGTACCACTGCCTCGTTCAAGGGCCAGTTCCAGCCTGTGGTGCCGGCAATGGTCCGGACCACAGGGGTGTGAAGATGGCCCATGGTCAATATGCGTTTATTTTCTCAACCAGGCCAGCCCAAATGTGGTGTAGTATAACTCTGGTCCAGCTAGTGAAGCTAATACTAACTTCAGCGACTACCTCTAGATCCGTGTTAAGTTTCCGTTTCTCTTCCTGTTTACGCTAGGCTACTGTGTTTTGTTTGTTATTATTTATTTATGCATATATAATTGTCTTTTTTGTATACATCCGATTTGTTTTATCTATCTTACTTCTATGTTTATACATAAAGCTGGCAGACTTGTATATTTAAATGTGTTACTTTTGTCTCTGTGCAGAACATCAAAAACTTGTTTTATAAAAAGTGCTATACTAATTAAGTGGATTGCAAGAACTTCAAGGTTTTCAATTGGTCTTTGCAATAGATCACCAAACATGGGACATTGAAAACAACACTCCTAATTGAGAAGTTCCCACTTGATGCTTTCTATGTGGCTCAGTGGAGGATCTCCATCACCATCTGAGATGCTTTCATCTTTTATGTAACAATGAAGCTCCGAGTTTGATTAGAGCAGCTCGGCTGCCACCACTTTTTCAAGTACTTCAGAAAAAAACAAGACAATGTGTCCGACAAAGACATTCTAAGGAACAGCTCTTTTGGACCTGTAGGTTTTATGATCTTAATCCGGGGATGGATAGAGGAGTAGATTGATTGAATAATGCTGTGTCGCATCTTTAGGTCTCATGAAAAGCACTATTTGTCCATCGTGCACATCTATTTATTAGCCGTACCTGTGTACGCGCATATACTGAAAGGTTTATACAGTTTGTGGGTGCAGAGTAGTATGAAAAGACTAAAAGAAAGTGCTATGCATTATTATGGTTTTAAACCTGATCAGCTGATGAACAGCTACTTTTGTTTATTTTCAACACATGGTGCACATGGTATGTGCACCATGTGCACTTGTATATCGTATATAGTAATTGTAACTATTTTAAATGTATTCCTTAGAATTTTTTATTATGCCTTCTCTACCCTTACCTCTCTTTCTGACTGTTGCACTGAGCCAAAGCAATTTCCAAGTCAATAAAAATTATTCTGATTCTGATTCTGAACTAATAAAAAAAAAAAAAATGACTCAAAATTGTAATGACATTTTTATCAGTAGTGTATTTGTAAAATTAGAATAATTCCTTGAGAAAAGTTAAAATTGTACATTACATTCTGTGGGCACCTTTCCATTATCAACAAGACCCCATCAGTTATTGGGTCAGTGCAATATGTTTGAGATAAACACATATGAATATTTAATGTTTCCAAACACGTCATAAATATTCCTGCATATGCGAACTCCCTTCATTTCTCCTGGTCTATCAGCACTTTTAGTGGCCCATCTGCTCAGGGCGTGACACACACACGCACGCACACATGCACACACACACAGCTTATTTATTTATTATGTATTATTCATTCATCCCCATGGGTCTAACTTTATTGTATGGGGTGCATGTTAAACAAAATCAATTGATTTAGTCCCAATCATTTGTAAGAATCTTCAGCCGTGTTTATCGGCCTCCACATTGTCCATTTTTTGGAGCTTGAAACAAACGTGATGTAAATATAAGGTAAATGTGTGCAGCTCTGTAACCCTGTGTGAAACCACAGGGGGTTTCACCACAGGGGGTTTCACCACAGGGGGTTTCACAGGGTGCGATTGGGTGAAAACATAAGTCTTCTGTTTCTGTGCGCGTCAAGGTCAACATGGGCCCTGTATCCGCAATTTGTTTTTTCTTTTTATATAAAGTCACATACAAGATGGAAGAGATGGAAGAGTAAAGCAGAAATGTGGCAAAAAACTATGGGCCTGCTCACTGAAAGGGGACCCTATATACAAGAGACTGGAACTAGTTTCCACTCGTCATAAGCAAATGCAGCACTAAACTGTTTTTGAGTAAATAGAAGAATGTAGAGCAGTGTTTTTCAACCAGTGTGCCTTGAGAACCTTGTCATCTTCTTCAAGATATTGTTTGGTAATTAACTAATATCACCCAATTGGTCAAAATATGGGAAAAGGAAATGATGTGATAAAATTAGAAAAAACATTTTGCTCTTGTTTGACTTTCTATATAATACACTTTGATAAGAATTACTTTATGTAGTTAATAAAGTCTGCAAAGTTTCAAGTTTGAATCAGTTTGTGCTGGCGGTGTGCCATGTGAGGGTTCTCAAAGAAAAAGGTGTGCCATGGTTCAAGAAGGTTGAGGACTGCTGTTATACAGCACACACTACACTTTTCAAACCTAAGACAAAAAGTTGATAATGTACAATGATTGGAATGCAAAGAGAAGGTTTGGCACACACTCGCTGAAACTAAGGAATTTAGTTTTTGTGTTTATGTCTTTGATGTAGAGGGAGGTGGAAATATGCGTATTTTATGCCGACTGTAAATATGTGACATTTCAATCCAACCAAATGTATATTTGAAAAGTACGTTTTTTTAAAGGTTTTTAAAGGTTTTTTTGTATGTTGAGAACAACAAATAAGTTCAAAAAGTAGTAGAAGTTGTGCAGACAAGGGTAGAGAGCTTCTGGTGTGAACTGAACATTTTACTCATTAAATATGTCATGCACCCTACTCCCAGGTGGATATGGGCCGCTGCAGCCTCGTGTCCCTCGTACCTGATCTCTACGCTGCTGTGGAAGAAACAGACGGTGTCGCTGCTCAGGCAGACCTGCAGCACTGGGGCCTGGTCGCTCTCTTTCTGCACACTGGGGTTAATGCGCATGGAGCCGTTCATACCAAAGTGCACTCTGAGGACAGAACCATACATGAGGCAGTGATAGACAGCAACACAACATAAGACTGATGTAAAACAAAACATCCAAAAACAACACAACATGAAACTGACAATAACAGAACATGAGACTGAGATATACAAGCGTGAGTGTTTCTGAATAATATGAGTGCTACACAGTTATGAATGATATTTACAATATGATAAACACTACACAAGAAAATACTGTACATTTCATGGCAGATGTTTTTCTTAAAGGACGACTTAATACCTGTGCCCTGCCTTAATTAGAAAATTCTCTCTAAAAGAAGGACTTGGGGACAAGAAGGGGGCTTATGGTGCTTTCAGACCGCCAACGCTGAAACGCACATTCTCTAGTTTTCAGACGCAGGGGTCTTCAGACCAGAAGTCCGGGCGCGCGCCGGAAGTGGCGGAAGTAGCCGGCGGGCTCTGATGCTAACAGAGTTTAGCTAGCGGCTTCTTGTGTACAGATCTCCTCCAATAATGTCCTTTATATAAACAGTAGTATGTGGTCACGGAGGTACGCAATACGTTTATTTTATTATTAAACGGTACTTCCGCATTGGCAGTTGCATAAAATCACGGGAGCATGAAAACTCACATGTTAACAAGCACTATATCCCCCATTGTCAACCCTGGTTTAGTCCTGATGTAGCTCCTGTTTTGGCTGTTTACGAGTATTTTCAGTCTGCTCACTCAGACCGCTAATGTCCCCGTGACCACTTTGCGGCTCTCTGGTTGCTGCACGAACGTCCCGAGGAAAGGTTGAGCAAAATTAATCTCCTGCGTTCCTCCCCTTCGACTTCCCCACGCAGTCCGTGCGTGCATTCCGAGACGCTTGTGTGTTTTGACGCTCAAACGCGCGTCACCATTGACTTTGCATTGAAAGCAGACGCCACGCATGATCCGGTCTGAACGCGGCATTAGACTTGGGGCGTGGTCTGAGCTGATTTACAAAAAAAATCAGACAGTTGTCATTGCTGCTTGAAGCAATAGTTTACAAACCAGAAATTCTCATTCCACTTTTGTTTACACATTAAAGTGATTGTCTGGAGTTTGTCAGAAAGAGAGACAGAGAGGTACTTGATTTGAAAAAAACGCCGCAAGCTCCCTCCCCCTTCCTTTCTGATTGGTCTACTCCTACATTTCCGTAACACTTTGAAATGTTAATCAGAGAACATATTATACATATACATTATTAATACACATGCACAGAGGTTTTCAGAATTATTTGTGAACGTTTTAATGAAAAAAATATGTTTTTATGCACACAAAAAAGCGATCGCGGCAAACCAGGAAGTGCTATTATCATGAATTGCACATTATAGGACACATCTGCAGAGGATCTGATTATGGATATAGGTTCAGTATATACATAAGTACCTCAGCGCGGATGTTCAGAATTCTTTGTTCAGTTTTCATGTAGTTCCAGAGCCTAATAGAGGCTCCCTCGAAAACAAACAACTGCGCATGCGCGCAGCTGCGAGCATCAGCGCCGATGATTGACAGCCCTTGGCATGACTCGATTGGTTAACCTCGACGGCACCGTGGATTCTGAACTATAGCTAAGAGCAGGGAAGGCGGGACTTGCCTGTAATATTAGAATTAATAAAATGACTTATTTTATATCAACATTTAAGGCCAGGAGATCAATTTAACACATTTCCTAAAATTTGTAATTCATTTAGAGTTACAGACTATCACTTTAAGATAATTGTATAGCTAAACAGTGAACCTAAGCCAAAGAATTATCTCAGCAGTAGTGGCTCACAACTGATGTAATTAAATTTTAACAAATAGGTAAACAACCAGCGGCCAGAATACTCAAACTCGCTACTGGGGCATGTGAGACTTGGATGGTTTTATACCACTGGCGTAGAGAGACGCACGTCATACAGTACAAACTGACGTCACACAGTAACCTGGCAAGAGCCAGATTGATGATTGTGTAGAACTCTAACGCGTTCTCCATGATATCAATCTGGGATTTCTCCCGGAGAATCCTTTCGGGGAAAGGAGGGATAAGCAGCAGAATACTTCAAGCTGATTGGGCGAAGTGACGCTGTGTGCCCGCCTACCAAGGTTGCCGTCCAGAAATGCACAAAGCGCCTCTCGCTGTTCATCTTTCAAAAAAGAAATTGGAGATTCTGCTAAAACTGACTTGATAGCCTCAGCTACGCGTCCGTCCTCCTGCGTAGCCATGTTTGTTTTGCTTCGGCCCGGCACTTCTTGCTTTCGTCAAACCCGGATATCCCGCCCTAAACCCCCAGACTGGCGCGTGATTGGCTCGCACACCCAGTGGTTCGACTCGAAAAGTGTAAGCGGGAGCGGTACAAGATGTATTCTCGAGTGTTTGTGAACTCACAAATACCGCGAGAATTCAGCTTGCAGGCAAGGTTAGTCACACAGCACTCCAGAGCCAATGTAGAGGTCAGCCACGAAATTCAAATGTAGTGCCACCAAAAATGATCATATCGCAACATCAGAGATATCTACAACTATAGGATGTTGGAACTCTTTTACTGGAGTTGTTGGCCCAGAGAATGTCTGGATCACTGAATAATTCAATTGAAAGATAAATAACAGTTGTCCAACATATACAGATCTGTTTTCCTACAGCCTTTTCAGCAGAAACTCTTGATATGGGGCATGAGCTGACCTGCCCAAGACAGTGATCCATACCGTAAAGCCTTTTGTCCAAAGTACATGAAGAGCTCTTTGCCCAGAGTCTCCACTCCGCTGAACTGGGTTCCATGAAGACTGCAGAACGGGCTCTTCCCAGGCTGAGTCTGAGGACACAGGGACACACACCTGTGAAGTAGGGATGCACTGAACATCGGTATCGGCCGATGTTTACTTTGTCAACTACCATAGGTAATTGGCAAAAAAGAAAACACAAAAAAAGCCTGAAATGTTAACCAATTCAGGCAAAGCGGCCCCCTTCAGCATGGACTTATTTTTTATAAAATGCACTAAGAAATTCACTGTGGCATTAGCAGCGCATACACTCCTGCTCCACACACACACACACAAACACACACACACACCCACACACACTTTCATTAACTGTCCCGTTATGTTTAGGAACCAACTTATTTATGGATTATTAAGTCTTTCAAGATATCGTTAATCGTCAAAAATACTTGCATGTGAAACAACAACATAGATCAGGATCACCGTCTTGCTCATAGCACATTTACGAATAAGATGAAGACAGCATGTTGTGGTCTGATTTGTTCAACGCATTTACTCTGGTATGACGGTTTCTATGCAACCATGCATTCATGAAACACAAAGTTAATAACCTCACCTTAAATTCAAAGCCAAAGTAAAACGACACCTAACATGCTTGATGTAACTGTAGCATTCTTAAGGAAAAGCAGAAGAAAGGGAAAATCGAACTACTCCTCCAAGCTCCACATGCGCATAAACGCTGAAGATATATAACGAGTGTGTTACAGACACAGGGATGACGCGTGTAAACTATGGTGTCAACTGTTCCAGCTATAATCTGGAGCAGCCTTCACAAAAATGTGAAACACGCTTCTGACTATGTTCGAATCCAGGTTAAAATTGTTTTTCGCTGTGCATACAACTGAAGGATTGTATCTTCACTCTTTTTACGCACTTATTTATTATTTCAATTTCCTTGTGTGATTTTAATAGGTTTGTTGTTAGGCACTTTGTATAGCACAGCACAAGGTAATTCAACAACTCAAATAGACTTGCCTTGCCTACGTACCGTGTGCGTCACCTGGCTCCCTCTCATCTTAAGTACCCTCTGTCCTCGGGAGACTCGGGCGCGGATCTTCTCTCCGTTCAGAGTGCAGCCTGGGCCCTCCACCATGTCTCCGCTCCCTGTGCCCGCGGAGGATTTGATCAGACTATGGATCGGACCTGGATTTGGGTCAGGGTGAGCGGGGTTCTGTTGTGGAAGGTCTGCAGCGCGCTTCTCGTTTGAGTAGGCGCATGCGCAGTGTACTTATTTACAGTCAGATTAACGGAAGTTTACTTTTTGTTTTATTCTTTTCCTTTTTTTTCTCCTATCCATTCTGGTTCAGAAATGTATCAACATACAACAACAACAAAAATAATATTGCCAAGTGGCATTTTAAAAATATGTTATTCAAAATTGTATTTGTTTTAGTTTAGTTTTAGTTGTTTGTTTCTATCAAGCATATGAAAAACCTATTAGTAATGAATTAATCAATTATTTATATAGCTATAGTGAAATGTCTATAGATAAGTCAATACACATAACTGTAGTATAAATGTAGTATATGAAATAAACAACGTTTATGTTGATTATGTATATATTTATGTATATACATTGATATTTATTATTTATGTTTCACTATAATGCCTTTATACATTTCTTATCTCGGAGTCTGTCCTTATTCTCATGTTCTCTTGTACCATCATATGTTCGCCACGAGAGGGAAGCAGCGTCTTGCTCTGGCAGTTCCCGGCTTCCAGAAACTTGTATCCCGCGGATGAATGATATGATCTTAGTGCATACATTCTCCCCCCTTCTCCAGAGATCCAAGTAAACATAGATAATTAGATGGAAGATACATAATGTTATAGTAGTAAAACAGTGTCCTTATGGCCTTGTGTTCTCCTCTTGCTGCAGAACTTTTAAAAGCCCAGTAAACATTGTAAGAGAATCTGCATGGCGTCCTTGACAGCGACCTGTTTGCACTTTAATGGACGTATATCAAACTAGTTGTTGCTCTCCCTCTTTGTATACTCTCCAAACAAAATTGGAACTTTGTAACATGAATCAGCGTTGAGACTATTTATTTACTAAAAAAAAATACACACAGTAAGATCTACTGCTGCGTTTTAAATGTTAAACTTGCCACGGTGGCTGAGTGGATTGCACTGTCGCTTCTCAACTAGAAGTTTCTGGGTTCGAATCCCGATCAGAACAGGGCCTTTCTGAGTGGAGTTTACATGTTCTTCCTGTGTCTGTGTAGGTTTCCTCCGGGTGCTCCAGTTTCCCCTACCACTAATAACATGTACCAGTGTGTCTGGTGACTCCCTTCTGTCATCCCTGAACAATTGAGACAGCTGATAAGTTTAAGTGTGATGAAAAATTTGCTGGTTTGAGGGCGTTCTTCAGAGTAACTTTGACCTCATTAATCGATGGTCCAGTGGTTAAAAGTGGGTGCTCACGATGCAGCACCCTGGGTTCGATTCCAGGCAGAGTCTTTTTGTATTTAATTGCATGTTATCACATTCTATGACAGATTGCTCTAAAAATGGTAAAATTTAGAGCAATACATATTTTGCTACATTTTACATATTGTTCCTTTAAGCCAACATGTAATTAAAAGTTAGTATTGTTTTGTTATGCTTTTTACTAGTCTTCAATTACATGAAGATATGAAGGAGGATTTCTCAATTTTCTCAGGAAAGAACCGCCCTCTCCACTTTTTGAACAAAATATTCTGGTCTTATTTGACAAGCATGAATCACCAGAATGAATGACAATTGGGAGGACCAATAGTCTTGATGATCCACCCGGAAGTACAAAATCTTCCTATATACCTTCATCATTTGGTCCAGTTTTGGTTCAGTTCACAGTAACTGAACTAATTCTAATCAGAAAAGAATATCCAATCTAACTAATGTAAAACAATACCGTCATATTATTAAAAAAAAAAAAAGTATAATAAATGAAACCCACTTTCGGTCCCTGACCAGCCTTTTCATTTTTTATTCGGCCTTCAACCAAAATAAGTTTGACACCCCTGAGTTATACAGTAAAGAAGGATTTTCCAAAATAGAATTCTGCTCTTTCCTGATTGGCTCTAAGGATTCTGTTTTAGAGCCCTGCACTTGAGCCTCTGGCCCGAGGACCGGGCTTCGGGCCGATGACCGTATAATTACCTCGGATACGGGCTGGGCTCGGGCACTTTTACTTATTTATTTTCAGAGCGGCAGATTACTATCACGCTGTAGTGTTTGTTGTTCTGTATTAGTATTGTCATTGACGACACATAGCGTTACCTTCAAGTGTGTTGTAGTTTGTTGCGGCATCCGTGTATCATACAGCTGTGTATCATACAGCTGTGTATCATACAGCTGTGTATCATACAGCTGCGGCCGTTCACTCTGTACACACAGAACTCATGGCAACACATCACTGCCAAGTATAACTCCGCACCCTCTAGCCAGGCCTGTGTTTATATCAGAGCGCTGCACTATATACTACGCTAAAGCATTGTTATGGGAGGTAAAAAAAAGAAAGAAGAAAAGTCGGGCTTGATGCGGGTTTCGGGCCTGAGAATTCAGAAACCATGTCGGGCCGGGCTGGGGCACCACCCCCTCGGGCCAGGGCCGGGCTCAGGTCCAGATAATAGGCCCGTGCAGGGCTCCATTCTGTTTTCTCCTAATTGACTCATGAAATTCCCCTATTTCCTGATTGGCTCTTAGGATTCTTCTCTTTCCTGATTGGCTCTTTGTATTCTGCTTCATCCTTATAGGCCGGGGCCTACCCCCTCCACGTAATATGTTTTGCTATTTTTTTAACTATTATTTTATGTTGTCTTATACTTTGGGCTATAACGAGTGGATAGGGTCCACTCCCAACTCGGCTCGTTTGATCTCAGGGGCTAAAAAACCTGTTTTTTGGGGTTTGCCTTTTGCAAAATGATATTATTTTAAATCTAGAGGTGCAGAAACCACATACATTGTCACATCAACCTGGAGAAAACTCAAAAACTTACAACTTATATTAGTTGTAAATAATATGTACACTCCCGTATATATTAAATCCGTTATATTCATTGGTTTATGGTTTATGCTTGAGCTAGAAAGAAAAAATGCTAAATAGTCTGGAAGATATTCCTTTCTTTACCCCTAAAAAAACATACAATAACACATTCAGCAAAGTATAATCACAGTACACCAAATGAAAAATGAGAAATACTATGCAAAATAATGTACCTAGAAAAGGCTCCAGCATGTTTTGGCCAGGAGAGCATAGGCTAAGTATTCATTGTATTTTAACCTATAATAGATCTATGATTTTAACCGACAATCTTTGATTGCACGTTTCACACATCTCCGGCATCCAGTTGTTTGCACGGACGAGCACCACGTTGAGTTGTTTACAGCGGCAAAAGTGACACATGCGCCTTTCCCTTGTAAAGTGTGAGACAATGTAGGGAGCGTGCATTGTGAGACATGTGAAAGGCGCTCTGAAAAGCGGCGGAGCAGCTAAAGAATTTTAAAAGACATGCAAATGAGCGTACCAGTACGCCAAAAGCATGTTCTTGGAAAACAGAGAGGTGGCAGTACGCTCAAGAGCTATTTTTGGAAGTGGTAACGTGCCACTTAAGGCACTGCCTCATAAGCTTTATATTAAGACTAAGATGTCCTTTCTATCTGTAAGATTTCAGATTCTATGACCAAAGTTCAGCTCTAAACCTCAAATCGGAGAAAGCGTAACTTTCATGCATTTCCCTTCCCTATGGGATTGGGCAGGTTTCTTACATCTTCAAACACAAAAGTTTGGACTTGGCTTATATTATATCTAGTGAATTATCTGAAAAGCCAGTAATATTAAGGCCCAAAACAGGGTACAATCATAGAATCCAGCCAGGCCCTGCTCTGCCCTGCTTCGTCCAGCACAGGTCCAGCTCCGTCCTGGCAAGGCAAGGCAAGTTTATTTGTATTGCACAATTCATACACAAGGCAACTCAAAGTGTTGAACAAAACAAGATAGAAATAGTCAAACAAAGCATTACAATCATAAATAATCACAGAACATAAAAAAAAGATAAAAATATAAAAATCCCTCAGTTGTATGCAACGCTAAACAGAACTGTTTTTAACCTGGATTCAGGTCAGGGAAAAAGGCTGTCTCACTTATTCAGAAAGGTTATTCCAGATTTTACCTGCATGAAACTGAAATGCAGCCTCCCCATGTTAAGTTCTGACTCTGGGCACTAGCAGAGTTCGAGTTGGTTCATATGGCACTAACATGTCACTTGCACTATGGTGCAAGGCTATGGAGAGACTTGTAGCTTTTTTTAAGTCTATTCTATGAGCCACAGGAAGCCAGTGCAGAGAACCGAGAACTGGACTAATGTGATCATATTTCCTGGTTCTAGTCAGGACTTGAGCTGCAGCATTTTGAATATACTGCAGCTTTTATGCTGCAGCTGTTTTACAGCCCGTTTGGAGAGACCTGTGAGCAGGCCTTTACAGTCTTTGCGAGGTATGGCCAAGTCCCGGAGATCCAAATCAATGGCTCAATGAAGTGGAGCCCGTACGTGTGAATGTGACTTTTTAAACATGAATTGTACTTTTTTGGGCTTTCTTACGGCACTTTGGTCCTTGGTTTGCTGCGTCATGTCGAGTCACACTGATGACGCAGAGGGAGCTGCAAAACTAACATCTATGCTGGACCATGACTGTCACCCCCTGCAGGACACTCTCTCTGCTCTGGAGAGCAGCTTCAGTGACAGACTAATTCACCCTCGCTGTGTGAAGGAGAGGTTTCGCAGGTCTTTCCTTCCTGCTGCTGTCAGACTGTACAACGAGAATGTGTAACAGGAACTGCTGAGTCTGCACAAGTGTCACTGATAATTCACCAGTAACTTTGTCACTAGTCACTTTACCTGTTATCAGTACTACTGTATTATTACATATCTGATAATTCTGCCTTTCACCGTCACTTTACCTGTTGATATCTTACTGTAATATTACATATCTGATAATTCTCCCATTCAAGTCACTTTACCTGTTGATATTATTTCTGATGTTTATTCTGCTCATATTGGAATAAGCATTGGCCTTTGGGCTTGAAGGTCGTGGGTTCGAGCCCACCATAAG